CCGTGTAAGAGTGGTTCTGCTACTCTCCCGTGTAAGAGTGGTTCTGCTACTCTCCCGTGTAAGAGTGGTTCTGCTACTCTCCCGTGTGAGAGTGGTTCTGCTACTCTCCCGTGAGAGTGGTTCTGCTACTCGTGTGAGAGTGGTTCTGCTACTCTCCCGTGTGAGAGTGGTTCTGCTACTCTCCCGTGTGAGAGTGGTTCTGCTACTCTCCCGTGTGAGAGTGGTTCTGCTACTCTCCCGTGTGAGAGTGGTTCTGCTACTCTCCCGTGGAGAGTGGTTCTGCTACTCTCCCGTGTAAGAGTGGTTCTACTACTCTCCCGTGTAAGAGTGGTTCTGCTACTCTCCCGTGTAAGAGTGGTTCTGCTACTCTCCCGTGTAAGAGTGGTTCTGCTACTCTCCCGTGTAAGAGTGGTTCTGCTACTCTCCCGTGTAAGAGTGGTTCTGCTACTCTCCCGTGTAAGAGTGGTTCTGCTACTCTCCCGTGTAAGAGTGGTTCTGCTACTCTCCCGTGTAAGAGTGGTTCTGCTACTCTCCCGTGTAAGAGTGGTTCTGCTACTCTCCCGTGTAAGAGTGGTTCTGCTACTCTCCCGTGTAAGAGTGGTTCTGCTACTCTCCCGTGTAAGAGTGGTTCTGCTACTCTCCCGTGTAAGAGTGGTTCTGCTACTCTCCCGTGTAAGAGTGGTTCTGCTACTCTCCCGTGTAAGAGTGGTTCTGCTACTCTCCCGTGTAAGAGTGGTTCTGCTACTCTCCCGTGTAAGAGTGGTTCTGCTACTCCCGTGTAAGAGTGGTGGGTCAACATCGAAGTCACACCAGAGAATGATAATACTGAGAGTGCTTTTGTCATGCAAATTTAAGGTTCCTATATTTGAACAAGTAATTTTGCTTACTCTCCCATTACAGTGTAGCTTTAAAATTAATTTAGTTAGTAAAGACTTTAGTGAGCACAAAATCTCTCACTAACTAGCATCACCACAACTACCACCATCACCACCGGCGTAAGTACCATCACCACAACTACCACCAGCGTAAGTACCATCACCCAGAGTTTCATTCCAAATAACATCTGAGGTAATACAAATACATTTTGAGTAGAACAAGCCTTTATTAAGGCAACGTTTCGCTCACGAGGTTTATTAAAATTAAATACTATTAAGTCATGACACGATAAAGCCCTCATGAAATTAAACGTTGTCTAGATTAAAGCTTTCTAGGCTCGAAGTCTTTGTATTAGTCATGTGTGGGTGTTGTGCCTGACTACCCTCCTTGGCTCCCAGGAAGCAGAGTCGCAGTGGCAGGTCTTACCTGGAGAAGATATCCTTCAGTTCATGCTCGGCGACATTTGGGCCAAGGTTTGCGATGAAGAGCGTAGAGCAGGGAGGGTTGTGTGGTGCGGCGGGATGCGGGGGTGCCGGGTGGGCCGAATGGGGCGAGCCAGCAGGTGATGCTAGGGCGGGCGAGGGCATCACCACTCCGGCCGCATGCGACACCATGGGCGCGTGCGGCAGCGCTAACGGAGGCTGCAAAAGAGTACTGTAATTACACAACATTGCAGCCTAGGTATAGGCTAAATTTTTGTGATGCACACGAAGGTATATATATATATTATAATGATAGAACTTTCACTGAGCTCTGAGTCACTGACTGACTGTTCTTGCAAAAATTATCTTCAGCTAAGTGTTTCTGAAGTCTATTTTATATAACATTAAACACTTAATATTTAAAAAAATAAATGCTGCTCAAAATATGTGAACATCAAACTACAAACTATGTGCAAAAATAATGAAAACTACCACAAATCCAATGGTGAAAAACTCTATGCAGAAAAAAAGTGATTCATAGTGTTAAAGTGGCAAAAGTACAAGGTACAATCATGTCACAAGCGATAAAGTTAGTGTCCAGAGGCACCTCTGCTCTAGTGCCATCCAGAGGCACCTCTGCTCTAGTGCCATCAGTGGTTACCAATAACTTAAATCACCGGGCACGCACCTATCGTAATTTTACGTTCAAGTTATATCAGTAAAATAAGTTATGCTTATTCTTTTATCTGAGATTTACATAATCATCTGTGAAGCAGTTGACTAAAATTGCTCAACTTACTGTTGATGCCGCCATCATCAGTACAGTATCATAATACTTTATATTTAAGTCACAGTGGCTGATATTAACCAGGTCATGATTGCAACTTCATTAACTACTGAACAAGCAAAGAACAAAAGTATTTTAACAGTTGCCTCACTTCTGTAGAGAACCACAGGTAAAGGCATAGAACAGCTGATTTGTTTATACCCATGGATTAAGTCTCAAAACACTTCTGTGACTGTCACACACTTACTGGCCAAAATCAATGGCCATTAATTAAAAATATGATCGGAACATAAAGAATGTAAATCAATGTCCAGGACGTAGATAAACGTTTTTGACGCAAATCAACTTCGAGGCTGTAAACCAACGTCCAAAACATTACAAGCTCACAGAAGGCTTTAGAATCACACACGGTCCTAATCTCAGAAGCCAGTATAAGTAATTTTTAACTAAGAAGCAACTAAAACGTACTAAAAGATGGATAGAGCAAGTTGTCACTCCGACAAACATTGCTTTGAGAGAACTCTACACCCTACATTATTATGTAGGGTCATGGTCATTTAATCAGAATTTTACTGTATTAGCTAACCAGTATGGAAATGCTGTAGTTAATTTAGTAGACTTGGCGAGTGTGACAGTCACCCTCACTAGATCATCTCAGAAACAAGTGCAACATACAAATTCTGTCTTGTATTTAACATCAAGAAGTGTCACTATCTTAGCGGTACTTCTTGATGGATGGATGAGGCTTCATGCTCACTACTGTATTACTCTAGTGTTGTATTACTGACCTGGCAGCTGTTCTTTGTCCTTTACAACTTTTTAATGCCAAAGTAATTTAATTATATTCGATTGTGAATTATATTACACTAAGAAACTGCTTTTGACAAACTTCTCATAATTACCAATAAAATTGTTAAACATAATTAGCATATAAACTTCAAATGAACATGAAGAGAGGCCTCGCCACAAAAATATGGATTACATAAAAAGGCAAATTATATTATATTACTAAGAGCACTAAAGTAATTAAGAGATGCTTACAAAGAGAAAAAGATAAATGTAACAAGTCAACAATAGTGTGTAGTCTTAATGGTGCTTCAACACAACACTCTGCAGGTTACAAGGTGACTGTACCAACACACAAACCTCACACTGTGACTAACTGTGACAAAAACTGTGAAACCGAGACACGCGTGGTAGTGGCGGGGGGTAGGTGGGAGTATGATTACGTACCTGTATGTATGTATGTATGTATGTATGTATGTATGTATGTATGTATGTATGTATGTATGTATGTATGTATGTATGTATGTATGTATGTATGTGTATGTATGTATGTGTGTGTGAGAGAGAGAGAGAATCAGAGCTAAGAAAACAAGATGGTCGCCTTCATACATTGCTTGGCCACCTCTTCAAATAATCACAAAGTATACTAACATGTAATGTAAGCTACATATCTGGATTACAAGCGAAGATCCATGTGGTGTACCTGTACACTGACAAATATACCTGCAACAATTATACTATCTGTAACGATGATACTGTGTACTATAAGATATAGCTGGTGTATTGAAATGAGAATCCCCCACTATCGCAAAAGATAACATGATGTGTGGAACACAGTAGCCACGGTGGAAATATAAACTCTTAAGCAGAATAATGTGATCCTTTATTCATAACGTTTCGCCCACACAGTGGTCTTTATTAAGTCACAAACAAATCTGAGATCTGTTTGTGACTTGATAAAGCGTAACGTTGTCAATAAAGGATCACATTATACTGATTAAGTTTTTATATTTCCACTGTGTCGGTATTTTTTACCATTCATTTCGTTCTTGTAAACACAAGTCTACAACTATACCCACTCAAAAAACTTGTGTACACACTGTGACTAAGTGGGTAATCCCAAGAGGAACTCGATATATTTTGTAGTGATCCCGACACCACACTGGCCTTGATACACCACACGTGACTAGTGGATACATCACACTAGTGGATACATCATACAGGTTCCTAATATTGTTGATGAAATATACAGAGTGGATGATGGAGGAGTTGGAAACATTTCCAAGAGAAGAGCAGCAAGCCATTTTGTACAAAGTTGTCCTAGAGTTCACCCTGGAGGAGGGGTTGCTGGAGCCTCAACAGGGGTCGCGGTGACTGGAGCCTTAGCAGGGGGGGGGGAGGTGAACGAACGCTCCCTGGGATACAACAGTAATTTGTATTGTTCTTTGGTAAATGAATGTTGTATTAACGATACTTTAAATTTTGCAAATCGATAAATTATGGACTACGGTATATCATAAATTAAGGATAATAAATGATGGGGAAGCTGGTGCTGACACCAAGTAAGCTGGTGGTAGCAGAGCTTCACCTCGCTGCTTCAAGTTACTCCTCAGTAACATGCAAAGCTATAAGTCTTGTCTTTTTTTCCTGCTAAAACCTAAGTAATTCGCAAATTTTGTTAACCTCAGCCAAATGGAGAATTTATTTTTGTGAACCTCTCAATGCATAATTTTTTTTTAGTACTCGAGTACTTTGATTTTACAAATCTAAAATAAAATATGAATTCAATATATTTTGAATTTTAATTCATGTTAGTTCTTTTTTTCTTTTGCTATCAAAATTTCTGAGATTGGACGTGTAGATTGTGATAAATCTGGAGTGAGGGTCACAAGCACATAAAGGTTAAAGAAGCGTGCTGTAGTAGACATGATATATGTTTAGTAGTACTTTCTCCTCGCCTGTTTTAAGAATCTTTATCTTCACAGGAAGAAAATGTTTGGAGGTTGACTCCTTGCTAACCCAAGTACTGACTGATTTCCTGGAATTCCTGGCCAACCAACCGCAACCTCACCAACATCAATCTCCTAGTAACATGCACAAAACTATTTTCCTTGCTAAATTTGAGCCTC